TCTTTTTTTTATTTTTGTAATCTGATAAAGAAAGGTCAGCAGTGTTCTAGATAACTAACCCCTGCCATACATATCCGCTAAACTACTTTTGGCTCTAACATCTCACATTCTTAATATAATCTAATTTGGAAACTGAAACCTCAAAAAACAATTCTAAAATGTAATTTCTATTACAACCAATTGTGGCTTAATATATACACATAATATTTAACTTTGAATACTGTATGATTATTTTAAAGAAGGTAAATGTTAGTATTATACGTTTATATCAAAACCCATCTGGCCCTTTTGACATCTTTTTAACATATTTAAATGGATTTTTCCAAATGGAAAAGAGTTGGTAAAGACAGGGGCAAATGAAAGATTACTCTAAAGAAGGCTTTGGCTCATAACGAGCTGTAATGCCACTGATGACGATAGATGGACTTTTGGAAAGTGTTGGTATGGGAGACACACTGTCTTGGCAGGTGACTTCAATATCAAATGTTGTACAAATGAGATCAATACAACTAGGGTATAAGATGTACCGGAAGGTTACAATATATATTAAGCAATTTTTGAGACAACTCAAGGAGAAAACTGTCTTGATAACATTTTCCTGGATACTGAGATACAGTGTGAGTTGGCCGGAGTATGTGAACTGGATTTCTCTGACCACAGATGACAACAGATTGATTTTTCATTGCATCAAGTTAATAAGTATCAAGAAGAAAAAAAATACTTTCAGGCTAATTGAGGCTATGAGAGCAAGAGGGCTAACCCCAAATATTGAAGAATGGATTTACATGAACCAAGAATATATGCGTTTTTTTGAAATAGGATGTAGTAAATTGTAAATGGATTTGTTTTCTTGTATTGCAACCACTGAATCTGTAACCATTGGACTTTTGATTTTTGTGTATCAAGTTTGCGATTTGTTATATTTCTTTTTAAATTCTTATTAGAATAAAAATCGTTTTCTGTCATCTTTATTACCGTAAAATGTGCTTTCTTTCTTGCATGTGCTATTACCTTTATCCAGTCGTCAAGTATGTAGATATCTTTAAAAAAAAATTTTGGTTACTTATTACTCCGAAATCTTGGTCACAGGCAAAGTAAGAATGTCCGCTGACTAAAAACTTATGATCAATATTTTCCATCACAATATCAGGATGTGGCACAATAAAATCGCAAAGGACAGCCATTTTAATGTTACAGTTCTGCCCTCCGCATTGATCAGAATATAGTATTACATTTTTTGTTGTAACATTTTTAAAATAATGCAGTAAACAAGATCCTATTTCTTGAGATCCTCGTGATGCTTGTGTCTCGTTCCAAATATATGTATGAGCATTATTACTAGCCAAATTATGGACTCCTAAGATGTAAGTCCTTTGTATTTCTTGATATAGCTGTAAATCTACAGCTATATCAAGAAATACAAAAGTAAAACTCTACAAAACAATAATACGCCCAGTGCTAACATATGGTTCAGAAACCTGGACTTTACCAAAAAGCAATGAAAATATGTTAGGATGTTTCGAAAGAAAAATACTGAGGCGAATCTATGGAGCGGTAAATGAAAATGGTGTCTGGAGAAGACGATACAACTTCGAACTCTATAGAATATACCAGGAACCAGATATCGTAAAAGACATTAAGATAGGACGTCTGAGGTGGGTAGGCCATGTAATGCGGATGGAGCAAACCGACCCAGCTAGAAAAACGCTCCTTGATAGACCTATTGGTCAAAGAAGATCCTGAACAAGATTCCTAGAGAAATATGGAAATATGTGCTTGGCAGAGGAAGGCAATGGATAGGGACGACTGGTAGAGAATTCTTGGGGAGGCTAGGACCCGCACAGGGTTGTAAAGCCAAATGAAGATGATGATGATGAAGATGTAAGTCGACAACTGGCGTTTATAGTAAGAAATTCCAGTGCTGATAACTGATGTGGGCAACATTCGCATCAAGCCAAATGCAATCACTGTAATTTCTTCAGGATTTTGTTTTGCATACTCTGCAACTTGTTTCATACAACATCTAGCACAGTCTGCTTTTCGTTGGCGAACCTCTAGTGTTACTTCAAATTCACATTTATCTGCTTGAACTGTTGAGAACTTTATTTTATTTTTATACAAATCACATTTTTTGCATGAATCCGTAATTGGTGCATGGAATCCAATATTAAATTGGGTATTTATTAAATATTTTTCAAAATATGTGGAATGAGACAAGATTACTAGTATGTTCTCCTCTGTAAAAGTTATAAAAGACTCCTAAAAACCTGTCTATCCTACAAAGAGGATGGTTAGCCCACTCTTGCATTCTTTTACATATTCTTTAAAACTTTAAGTTGTTAGAAGTGATTGCAATCTATAAATCAATTATCAAGAAAATGTTGGTTAGCCCACTCTTGTTCTTATAGCCTCAATTACACACAGAGGTCTATTTCTGTTTCATAATAGAGTATATGAAATAAGTTGGGACATTGTGAATGTAAGAAAAATGCATGTGATTGAGAAGTTTAACAGATTTAGGAATGTTCTGGAAAAAGCTTAGTTGGAATCTTTTTCAAGAAAGAGGTATAGGTAAGGTCCAATCAAACTAATAAAATTAATTGGTTCAAAAATGACTTAAAAGCTATGTGTGATCAACTGCACTTTTTAAAACAGTTTAAAAAACAGTATCAGTCACAAGACATAAAGAGGACATATAAAGACTTTAAAATTCAATAGAGAATGTAAAAATCTTAGCAAAAAACAACATCAGAAACTTCAGTAATCCAATAAAGTTTATGTGAAAAAATATAAATGAACATTGTGGTTTTAAGAAAAATACTAGCCAACCTCCTAATGTCAGGCCAACTATCTTTAATGATTACTTTTCACAGATAGCATCCAACTTGATCAAAGATATCCCAGTTTTAAATCTGTAGATATCAAATAGATCTCAAATAAATATATTAAATCAATTTTCTTTCAATTCAATAAATAAATTAGAGAACTTACTAAAGTTGAAGGTACTTAATACCCAGTTGTAAACTTAAAGTGAAATGTAAAGATTGTACTACTCAACAAAAGATTAAGAGATTGAATAAAGGTTGTATATATTAGCAACAATGTGAACACAAGACAGCCATATGAATATGAAGGGAGGATAAATAACAGAGGTAAAATGTAGTGACAATCTTAAAATCATGCTAAAACTGAATATAGCAATAGTAATAAACACAGACCAGCAGAAGAGAAAATAAAAACATGTGGAAAATAGATATATAATAAGTTAGATAAATGATAAACCTTTGATTCATAAAGAGGAATACCAATCTTTATAGAAGTCACAAAGATCAGCATGGTTACAATACTAGGCACAATTATGATACCAGCATATTGTCATTTGAAAAGGTATCAAAATGGACCAGGGTATTGGGCAATAAAATGTTTAAATGTTTTAATATTCTGTCTTGAGAACATAGTAAAATTAAAAAAACATTGATAAAAAATTCCTTTTATACATTTCATGAATATCTACAACATAATTTTAATTTTAATTAAGGTTTTGTACATATTTGACATGTGTAAGATTTTATATTTATAACATGAATAAACAGTATTAAATTGAACTTTTTTGTACTTTGCCAAGGAAGACATTGTGGTTTAAATATTCCTGGTGTTGCTCTGTAAACCTTAAAAAACTAACTGTTAAGACTTTATGTAAACATGGCTCATCAGTTTAGCCCTTAACAATTGGTAATTTGTTAAAGTTAGTTCTTCAAAGGAATGGAATTAAAAAAGTACAAAATAAAACAGCATGCAGATAAGAAGAACAAATACTGAAATAATGACAGCATTTTTGGAAGAAAAGTTCGAACTAAAAGAAAAGTACTTAAGTAGTTGTATTTTTGGATAATACAAGATGTCATCACATTTAAAAGTTAATAATTTAGTTTTTCCAAACACTATTTATGCTTGCGTTAAACATTATATAAAGTTTTAAAAGGCTATATAAAAAGGAACTTCTAAAATATGTGATAGATAAAAATAAGACCACTGAAGAAGTGTGTGACAGCTGTGATAGGGATAGTTGCAGCTGTATATTCAAATAAACTGAAAAATGAACATGTTTCCTTAAAACTTGCTTTTGAAGTAAGGCCAATAATGAAGAACGACCAGAAAAGATAAACCAGATTAAAAAAAAATAAGAATTATATACACTAAATTAATGGTATTCACAACAAGATCCAAGAAATAGAAGTAGATGATGTGAAATTTTGGACAAAGAACCATTTCACACCAGTGTTTTATTTAGATTCATATCTAGCATCACTACAACATGTGTATCAATTAACATGAATATGAATTTTGGGCCCTAGATAACAATATACCACTTATTCTATTTGTGGCATTTTAGAATCATTTTAGGTGAAAATAAACTATGTGGGTTACATCAAATTCTTAGATATAACCACATAAGTCTTATGATATAAAGAAACATTGCCGGAAAAAAATTAAGAGTGTAATACAAATCTCATCACTGATAGTGGCATGATCTAGTAGGATCACAGGATCAGTAATGATCCTTAGGGAAACTCATATAGATTCAAATATGGGTTTATATCTGTAGATACAGAAAAACTATTCTATACTTCATGTATCTGTACAGTACAATCAAAAGCAATACAGGCAGACTGCATATAATAAAGAGATTCCAAAAGAATCTAGTAGACTAACCAAGGAAAACAAAAATGTTTTTGTTTAGTATATGACTCTTAAATGCGATTTATTCCTAAAAATAGATTACTTGCACATACCGTGTAAAATTAGCGTTGTATTATCAGCCAAATAAATAAAACTAAAAGCATTCTTTCATTACAAATCACGGCGTGAGTTATACCACTTTGAACATAACCATTTTATTTCAAACCGATCTCAGCTATATACGAAAACTAATATATATTCTTAATTGGTAAATAATATTAATTTCCGTTTTCAGTCAAATATGATCAATTTATACTTACTCTCGTTCAACAATCACAGTTTTTATTAATCACTTCCACTTGCACACAAACCAACAAGCAATACACCACCAAGCATCAAATATACGGCGACTGCGTTCCTCGTTTGTTTGTTACGCTTTACGTTTATCGCTTACGTATCCAATGGATGCTGAATAACTAGAATAACAAACTGTTTATTGCTTACGATGTATGTTTCAGAATCGTTTATTCGGTTACAGAATAAGACTTCTTAGTACAGAAACTTAATATTAAGGCTGTTATAATATTTCAAGTGTATTAAAACCTTAATTAAGTTACAAAAATGAACTTCCTGTGTTATAGGCAACCAATATTACAATGACTGGTAGAAATTTTTTATGCTATTATGGACATTTTTTACAAATAGGTATGGTAAATATCTTGAATCATCATCTTGAACATATCTATGGTATGTTATGTTGAACTGAAGAACAATTTATAATGGAACAAATAGAACATATCTGATGAACTACGGCAATTGTTGGAAAAAGTACAATATAAACAAAATTCTAAGATAAATTCTTCTAAAGCGGGAAAAATCTGAAACTAATGACAGTGTGTTTAAAGGATGTAAGTTATAAGCCAGAAAAATTATAATGAATAACAAAGTAGACTACTACAAACATATCGGTATCGAAAACGAATATAATATAATTGTAGATGGATACGGGCCAAATGGATTAACACAAGGTAATATTTCGAATTTTCGAACAAATAACTGACGACACGCAGGACTTGCCGACAATAGTGGAAATTGGTGGAAATAGTAAGCTGACATCCATCAATGAATTGAGAAAGCCGGATGATGATAAAAGTTATGATTTATTTTACTGTTATTATTATAAAAGAAATGGGTTAAACTGCTATATGGAAAGGATAAAAACTTACCGTTAGGCGAATACCAAAGGAATAGACCAGATATTTGCACTAAAGAAATTTAAAACTGGTACAAAATATACTGTATGCAATATTTTTCCAGTTTTAGCAAGCTTATGACAAAATTGACCGAAATGTGTAAACAAAGATTTCAAAAATACACCGAATGCAAACTTTGTTTTATGGAATTTTAGACATGAAATTTGGGGTATTTCGTAGCGATGCGATAGGGGAAGTGTTGGTCTCCTGCTTATGACGGACCTCCTGCTGTAATTTGAAATAGCGCGCGGTTACATACACATCACCGGTTTCCGCTTGCGCACTAACCTTGTAGTTAAGAATCTGGAAAATCTCTGACACGTGGCTGTTATATTAACAAGTAAACTGAAATAAAATTAAAATTTGGCGTTACTGGTCTAATAAATTTTTTTGATAAGTAGTATTTTACTGGTAACATAAGTTAAGCATTTAGTGTTACTTTTGTTGTGTATCAAATGACTACACTTTTTTGTCAAATACTATACTTTGTTCTAGGTTAAAATGTCAAAACAATATTAAAAGAAATAAATTTATTGGCTTTTCTATTTGCCTATGATGGACATATGGGTCTTTGTGTTATTACCTATGACGAACTAGAGGTCCATCCATCGAGCATAAAGACAAAAGAGGGAATCTAACCGTTATGAAAAGGAGACCAAAAAAGTGGCCTCTGATGGCGGACATATCCGGAAATGCAAAGGCGCTAAATTTAAATTTTTCGACACTTATTAACAATAGCTATAAAATATTTTTCAGACGATAAAGTTTTAATTAAATATTAACGATAATAGTCTAAAATGTGACACAAATGGTAATCAATAATTTAAATAACTTATTCATAATGTGTGGAATGACTGCATACATCCATAAGGATAGCTTTACTCAATTTATATTAGATCAATTCAAAGAGTTTCTCAACTCCAGAGGAATCTCAACAAATAGAATTACTTACTTCTTATAGTCCTAAAGGAAATGGTCAAGTAGAAAAGTTGAACTCTGCTATCTGGAAAGCGATTCAACTAGCCTACCAGTTGCGCTGGTAAAATCAGGGCATGTTTTGAGGAAAAGGCCCGATCGGAAAAACATATACCAGCCTATCGTAGACAAAATGGAGGTAGTAGAGGCATATACTGAGTACTCTTTTACTGTTAAGGTGACAGACAGATGGGAGATCACAGTGTCTAATCGTCATCTGGATGAAATTGGACGAGGTGAAGAAGAAATACTAGACATACCAGTTCAAGAATTAGTGCTGGTAAAGGACCAATTTGAGCGTCAATGAGTCCTCATTTAATTATACAACCACGTAAACCTTGCAGCCTTGAGCAGATACATCTATATTTTTCCCTGCAGCGGAATCATTACTTCTTAAAGGACCCTTAACGTGTTATCAGCCAAGCTCATTGGCTCTTAAGAAGCTCCTAAAAGATCTAAAGAGTTTGGTATTTGGAAGACTTTAGTGTGGGACAATGATTTTTTCCAGATTTTTTTTGCAATTATATATTATTTATATACCTATACAAAAATAACGTAATACCATACATTTAAGCGGTCTCTCGATAGTTTTCACTCGCTATTCTCATGGGGTACCTTATATACAGTTATGGATGAGGTTAGGCCAATATTCACTCTACCAACTGCGCCTGATGTTAGGATAAAAGTGCAGGACAACGTCATGCCTATTGCAATAATAAAATGAAGTATTATCGTTAGTACTTTCAGTGGTGGTATTGTTTAAGATACTATATTCGATGGGATTAAACCACAATTGATTGTAAAGAGAATTACATTTACATTGACATTTCACATTCCAATGCAAAAACGTTTTAAAAAAATCTGAAATAAAAATTGTGAATTCTCTTAATTTGTAAATATTTATAATTGGAGGTAGGTGGTAATATCAGTTTGACACTTCATTTATTTAACCATGATAAGCATTAGGCATGTTTAAGGGTGAAATTCCTGGAGATGTTGTATCCTAATATTAATGTCAAATCCTTATCTTTCTGTGCTTGCTGTAATTTACTATAGATGATATATCTCTGACCTGCTATTAACTCGTTAGTGTTAGTATATTCTTATTGCTTACTTCTTCTTCTTCTTCCAGTATTGGTAACTAGATTAAAAATCTAGTGGGGTATATATAAAAGGTAATATACTAAGATGGGTAGGACATGTGATGCGCATTAATAACAATCTCCTTATAAACAATATGTTTTAGAAAAAATCAGATGGGGGAGACAACATGAAATAGTGGCATACGGCCGACAAACATGGAAGGCAATCATAAATCCGGCAAAGATTCACGAAGAGTTGTAACGCCGTTGATGATGACGATAAGTATACAATAGGAATATTCTTAGATATCCAGTCAGCATATGAAAATGTGAATAATAAACGATGCCATTTAATTTATACACTAATTCAATACACTTGTTTCTAAGGACAAATAAAATTAGGTGAATACATTCTAATCTACAGTGGAGTAGCAAAAGAAAACAGGACCAAAGAAGATGTAGTCTTACTAATACACCAAAGATACCAAAATCACATCAAAGAGTGTCAATATATATCAAAAAGGATGAAAAGCAAATAAAAAGCCTGAAACAATAAGGGAAACTTTTTATGGCAAATACAACAAGTAATACATCAAGTCAGAGAGAAGATGATAGTATTAGTGAATTTTAACGCTTGAATAGGCAATCAAGGCAGCTTATAAAAGAAATATGGATACAGAAGTCCCTTCCCAGTGATTGGAATATTGGAATACTTTGCATCATACACAAAAAGGGAGATATCTTTCAATGCTCTAACTATCTAGGAATTACGCTCCTAAATGCAGCGTGTAAAATATTCTCCAATATACTATGCCATCGTATGGCACCGTATGCAGAGCGAATAATAGGACAATACCAGGCTGGTTTCAGAGGTGGTAAATTAACAATTCATCAGATTTCAACCCTGAGACAAATTCTAGAGAAAACACTGGAATACAGTGTAGACACGCACCACATATTTATAGATTACAAGGCAGCCTACGACTCTGTAAATACAAGAGAATTATTTAGAGCAATGATAGACCTAGGAGTACCAAATCCAAAATAATAAAAATCCAAAATATCACATATTATAAGAGACTAAGTTAGCCAGCCACAGGTGAATATTAAATTCAACTTCCAACAGTCCAGGGTTCATAATAATTTGCAAAACTGAGAAATTAATAAATATTCTATGAATCAATTTAAATTTAAAAAAAAATTTATTAGAGTATTTTTGATCAAAAAAATATTATATATATACATATATAATATAATATAAAATATATTATTATAATAATACATGAACAATATACTAATTAAAAAAGAATTTCAATTAAGAAAATTCTAAACTAATATCTCCCCAGACTGGGATCTAACTTCATCGGTTTTACCAATGAACCTTAACGACATAAATATTTAAAAAAAACTACTTGTAATTGTCAGCGCTTGCTTTCTATGAAAACAGAACCTCACATTCAAACTTTATAACAATCAAAAATTTACTTATTGCCGACAATTCAAAGAATTACTTCCTTTAAATGTAGTTACATTGGGTTTTTCGATTAACCTTGGGTAAACCTTTGCGTTTTAAGTTCAAAGCTACCATACATTTCCAACGTTAACAAAAATAACTTTTTTGCACATAGTAACAAAAAAACACCACTATGTTGTTACTATTTTAACATCATAACTCGACATTTCTAAAATTTACGGTAAGGTAAATGTTTTTTATTAGATAATATATGGTAGCTAATTATAATTTATTCTCTTTCAGCCCTGAAGAAGCCAAATTATTTTGGCGAAAACGTTAGGCGAAACAATTGATACACATTAGAGTTTTTTTGCAGATTTCCCCAATATTTAAGAGTTTACTATATATATATATATATATATATATATATATATATATATATATATATATATATATTATATATATATATATATATACATTATTTAGTTTTTTTTAGTGTTGGTAGAATTTTTATGCTCGCTTGAAATATTTGGTTTTCGAGGTTACGAAGTATTAAAATTGCATAGAAATTATAAATATGTGACGAGTTTAAAAATACGTATCGTAATGCTAACATATTCCTACGAAGCCTGTTTAGCTTTATAT